ATGTCTTCACTCCCTCTTTTGTGGAACTAAAGACAAAAGATGTGACCGAAAACCTTAAGTTGCTGCGCATGGCAAACGTCACATTCCCTTTTGGTAATTATCCACTAGCATTCCTTTTTATTCTGCATTAATTACCCCTGTAGAGAAGCCACAGATACTTACTACATAGACATCTCTACCTGCGAGTATATCAATACGTGTATATATGTGTGGACATAGTCGTCAACAAACCACGTGCATTGTCATCTATATCTATACCTGCCTATACCAACCTTAAGCCTACCTACATATGCTCATATTAGTGTATTTTCCCACCTACACTTAGATTAGGAATTTTGCATCTATGTACTATCTACCGGTCCGTATGTCTGCCTAACTGCTTTTATGTGTGCCTGTCTACCTACCTACCTACTTACCTGTGTGTCTACCTACCTACCTACTTACCTGTCTGCCTGTCTGCCTACCTACCTTCCTATTTACCTATCTACCTATTCATTTGCCTCATCTTATATTTGCATATACATATAAGTAGAACATATCATATTTGCATAACAACTACTTGCGCATGTGCGTCTGCGTCTCTGTGTGCGTGTCTGTATGCCTGTGTGTGTGTGCGGGTGTATATGCGTGGATTTTCCTGTGTGTGTGTGTGCGTGTGTGCGTGCGCATGTGTACGTGTGTGTATGCATCTGAGCACGCGTGGTTATGTGCGTGTGTCTGTATCATTCATTACCTTCAAGTGATAATCTTTGTTGTAGTATGCAAGCCACTTGTAGCACATGGGTCATCAAGCGCTCATGAGGTAAGCAGGATCATAGATATATAATGGTTAGGGAGGCAGCAAGCTTAGTATTATGGTTATGCAGTAGTTGGGATTGGTGCAAGGTCAGAGTCATGGTTAAGTAGGTGGGTGGGACTGGCATAGGTGTAGGGTCATAATCTCAATGCGGCTATTTTATTTCTGAAAGCCTCTTTATTTAGCCATATCATGAGTCAATCATTGATCTTCAATAAATCTGCATGTAATTTCTGTTGAGTACCAAGCTTCACTCCTTATGCGTGCATGTGTTAGTTACCCTGTCGGTGTCATCTGAATCCACGATGTGTGTTAATGTCTGACCTAAATATACATTATTTCAGATGTCGATCATATTCAATGAAGCGGGTGTGCAAGGTGTCACACCACCATGCGTTGCTCAGACGTTTGTCAACCACAATGCATTATTGTACAAAATCTTCGTGATTGGGGACCAACATTTCACAATAGAGAGACCATCAATCAGGAATCTGTACTCTGGTGGTAAGCAATCTGTGGCACATCCACGAGTCATTTCACGTGATCCGTTATTTATTGGCAAACAGTAGACAGTCGTTCGTTGTGTACGAAATGTATTGGTGGAGTAATGTAATCGTTTATTACATGGCTGGGTTCTTCCGTGTTAACGTTCGCTTGCTAAAATACTGCCTTGTTCCAGGTCAGAAGACAGTATTCTTTCATAGCGGTGATGTATCAGGGGCCAATGCATCCTCCTCCCTCAATGATGTAAGTCTAAATCAATCTATTTTACACATAACAACATAGCAGAACTGTCAGTCTGATCGACATAGCTGTATCATTAGCAGCATAGCAGTTTAATCAGCATAGCAGTAGTCGCAGCAGTAATATGCCAGCAGTAGTCGCAGCAGCAGCAACATGGCAGCATTATCAATATCAGTGGTGGCAGCACACAGCAGCCATGACAGCAGAAGTAGCAGCAGCAGCAGTAACACTTCCAGCACCAGTAGCAGTAGTAGTAGCAGCAGCAACAGCAGCAGTGGCAGGTGGAGCAGTAGCAGCAGTAGCATTGTCATCATCATAATCATCATCATCATCATCAGCAGCAGCAGCAGCATCAAACAGCTGCAATGGCAGCATTAGCAGCATCAAACGGCAGCAGCAGCAGCAGTAGCAGCAGCAGCAGCAGTGGCAGCAGCATTAAGCAGCAGCAGCAGCAACAGCAGCAGCAGCAGCAGCAGTAGCAGCAGTAGCAGCAGCAGCAGCAGCAGTAGCAGTAGCAGCAGCAGCAGCAGCAGCAGTAGCAGCAGTAGCAGCAGCAGCACTATAGCAGTGCCCCTTGCTGCGCATTACTGACGATTAGTGCTGCTGTGTGACAGGTCGAGCAGGCGGACGTGCCTGCGAGTGTGCGGCCGCAACCGATGAAGCTCTCCCGCCTCGTCGACGTCGTGCGCGAGCGGCTGCAGCTGGCGCTGTGCGGCATCGACGTCATCGTCGAACACGGCACAGGACGCTACGCCGTCATCGACATCAATGCCTTTCCCGGTGAGATGCCCCGTGCACACTAGCCACCCTCGCAGTCTTATATTAGCATTTATCATGTGTGAAGAAGAGGCATGGACAGCCTCTACGGGGCACAGCTCCAGATTATATTAGCAGTTATACAAGACCGTTATTTATTCTTGCGCTATCTTGTAAAAATCCTCACATAACACCTGGTTACATGCACACACTCACAGTATATATGGCACAATATTGAAGCTCTACGTTCCAGTAGGTCACAGGAGCCGCGTTTGATAAATTTTGATTGTGTATAGCCTACTAATATATGTACAGTTATATGCGGGATATTACATTACACCAACCTGTGTTACGTAAATACAGGAAAAACGAAATCTCTTATTTCTCTGCCATACAATAGGTCTGGCAGTGTGATGACTTGTGCCCAACCCACTGATTTTCTTGCTGCCGCAGTCAGTAATGAACATTCAGTGCCCAGTTGTGGGAAAATTAGCGTAGGGCAATGGGTCCGGCACACAAATAAAATCTGCCTTACCAGTCCGAGTAATGCCTTCCATCTGACAGGTCTGACAAATTTCACATTTTCTATATAATTGGATACATTCACAATTTGTAAATTAAAAACAAAATTAAAATTTACTCTTACATATTCTTTTTTACAATTCAGTAGGGCTTTCTACTCAATTGGTGGCGTGCTCAATTTCCATAGATAAAATTATGTTATGTTTATACAGTCAGTGGCAACCAGGTTGGTCAGGTCAACTTCGATACGTGTGTAATGTATCGGTATCATATTAAATAATTTGACCTACACCTGTACCTTTTGAAATGACCGCATGGTGCATGTTTCTGCAATTAGTTTCCCCTCTATCTAGTGTACTCCAGGTACATGGTATTTATTTCAAGAGTTGTTCATCACTGTCCTTCTGATACATCTTTAAGCTGTAATTCCATATTTCCTCCTATCCTATACCTTAAGTTAAGGGGGAAATATTCCCCCTCCGTTTACACATCTTGACCTTTGACCCTTGACCCCCAAATTTGTCATCCTGATTCCTTTTCACGTCATTCCTGATTAACGCAAATATTTACATGATTTATTTACAACAATTGAATAACAACAAATAATTTTTACAACAATTAATTTTTTTTTTTTTTAATAGGGTTAGGGTTAGGGTAACAATGCACTTTAGTGACGTGACGTGATAAATCGCTGCAATCTCATTGGATAACGCAGCAGGCACTATGAAGCGATAGTGCCCGCCTGAGCGGGCACTATCGCTTGCGCGACGCATTGTTATTATTACGCATTGTGTTTACGTCACGAATCTCCTGAGTCTGGGCGCCACGCAAGAGTAATTTCGAACGGCGGTTGTGTTTGTGTCGAACGTTTTGTTACATCGAATGCACCGGCAAATTAGGGAGTATAAAGAAGGTATATACGCATGAAAAGTAGATTGCATAGTCATGTGATGCACTAAAAACATTAATGCCTGCTGTTGGGGGCACTATGCTCTCAGTGTTGCTTTGGGAAGGAATAGTGCCCTCGCTACCGCTCGGGCACTATTCCTTCCCTCAGCAACACTATGAGAGCATAGTGCCCCCAACAGCAGGCATTAATATATAAATAAAACAGGAGTTTCAGGCACGCGATTTGTATCAACCAATGGGATTTGGGAGGTATGGAGAATGCAGAAGGTTGCTGAAATGATGTGTACGCAACTGCGTATCTGCATATCAGCACCTAACAAAGGTGTCACTACGCACGACTTAAATGTTACGTTTATAACCGTAGCAACAGACTTCAGATGAGCCCAGACGCTCTGCGGCTCTTGTTTATGGAACACGTCACTTACATAATCACTGTATCTGAAGCGAATGAAGGAGAACACACTACATAGCTTTCACCATTATTTTTAGTTAACGTTTTAAATTTGCAGCAAGCCAATAATTGTTATTTAGTATTGAATTAATTTTTTTGTAATAGTTTACGAGTAAATTGGGTCAACTTGTTTTTTTAAAATGGCTAGCAGGTGTTTGTAGATATTAATGGCAGCCACCGTTGCTCATGCTGCCTCTCGTGTAAATGAGAGTATTGAGAGTACTTGAGAGTATTTAATGCTTGAGAATGAATGCTTAATTATTCAACTGCCATGATTAATCTATGGAATGAACATCTAGTATATGCAAATGGTGAAATCTAAAATATTGCAGTCACTTACTATTTTAGTGATTAAAAGTGTTAATTAGCCAGCTGGACTGTGAGACTATAAATTCCGAGACAAGATTCCTTCTGATTACTGAGACATGCTGCACAAGCAATGGCATAATTTATAACAGTGTCTATTCCAAGCGACGGCGTAATTTGTTGCTGCGTAATGTATACATAGACAGGTTTATGATGTTCTAAACGTCTATTAAAAATTCATTTTATATGGTGTGTAAATAACAGGTGCAGAGGTAAACAGACTCCCACACAGATTCATTTCAGGGTCATTATCGTCTTGCATTATACAACGACCTACCAGCCATGCATTAATCGTCCCTGTATAATGACCGTACTTATTTTTTACTATCAAAATTTTATCACTGGCAAAATGTTCAATTGTCAAATACTGAAAATTGAACATACCCCACCTACTAGATCCACTATCAAAATTCACATTCAGTGAATATTCTAAGCTTGGACTTTCCATGCGATGTACGTTTCTCTCTGTTAGAATGTATTGAGATTTTTAACAAAAGAATTGCCAAAGGAAGACAATACTGTTTAGTTTATCTGCTGAACTGTCATATCAGAAGCATTTCCGTTGAAACACGCTCCTCTGACCCCGCGTCTGCTCGTTTCTTTTAGGTTACGACGGAGTGCCGGATCTGTTTGAGGTGCTGCTAGGCTACATCGTGCAGCAGCTGGACAGACGCGATGACAAGATGACTGTATGCAGTGCACGCGATGACAAGATGGCCGCCCGAGGCTCGCTTGTCGTCTCGTCGCGTGCAGTCGAGCGCGAGAACGCTTACAACCGGCAGCAGACGATGAGCCTTGAGACTGCGGTGCGCCACAACAGCTGGCTGCTGCACGCGTAGACCCTCGCGTGGACGCCCGCCACGTGCAACCAGCAGCGGCGACGTTGCATCAGGAGCGTGACGTCGCGGGGCCTGTACAGTGCTGCCACCTAGCTGTGATGGGTCGTCGACCTGGGACTCCGCTCCCCTCCTCCTCCCTCCTGTGTGACTCGCCTGTGGGACTTAATCCGTGTGCTTCCACTTCCCCTTATTCACATCCAGATAATAGCCACGTATAGAGTAGGTAGTACTTAGTGGCGTAAGTAGTGGTAGATAGTGGTTTTCACGTCGGTCCGGCCATCTCGATTGCCGTGTTGGGGTTCCTCTGACGCAGTAGTGCACCACGAAGTCGTCTAGCGCAGTGTGTTGACGTTCGATCGATGCGCAATCGATCCTCGCAACTTTGAACGAGGTCGTCGCCTCTGCCATCTGTGGACTGGTGGACGACGATGGCGCTCGTGTCGCCAGTGTAAATAATTATGCAGAGGGGCAAACGCGAGTACCCGTACGTCGCGTCGTTCACGGCAGCAGGGCTGTAGACGCAGAGCTGCGCGGGTTTGTGTTGGGTTCGCACGGATGCGAGGAACAGCGTGCATGTTAGCGTTCGGTCGCTCGCTGTATAGGCAGCGGTTCTGCTCCCGTCGCGTACTTCTGTGTCCGTATCACTTCTGTCTCACTTCTTGAATAGGTATTGCCGTCGTGCTCTTTCACTCTAGGCGCAATCTCGTGGCAGTTTGCTCGATGTGACCAGCACAGTTCGGGCTCTGATACATGCTGGTGAACTGATACCCTGACATGCGATCGAATGGGTCCCAGGTTGAGCGAGCAGTTATTCCGGTGGCTAAAGTTGTGCATCGTAAAATCATGAAGGAAGGATTGAGGCAGCTATAGAAATTGCAGTTTTATTTGGGAAACGTGGTATATGTCATCTACTCGCGCGAGCAATCTCCCCAGTGCAACGTTGAACCAGAGTTGCGTGGTACCAGCTGCCAGGACCCTGCCATTGTCTATGCCATTATGTATAGATTATTTTCCCCAAAGTCAAGATTTCTTTTATCTAAAGCATTGGCGTTCGTGAAAAGAGAGCAGCAACTTGTGTTCTCCAGCTCAGAGTATGAGGCAACAGCATTCTATTGGTTTAAAACATCACTTAGTCATCGTGTGAACTTACTAGAGAGCATGGCCCCATTTCTATAAACTGTCAATCTGCTATCATGCGTATCAAACAGACGTCACTCCTGGTGTAACACCTCGAGCAGCTATCAATCACGTAACACGTCCCCATGTGTTTAACGTATGATTGTGCTATAATATATGCTCACACCACGTCGCCACCTACCTATAAACACGTCGGCTGCTAGCATGCACACCCGAAACACGTGGTACTCCTAATCTCGGGCATACAGGTGCGCTCTCGTAAGCACTCAGAACACGTGCTTAACACAACCTACTCACTACTGAACACGCATTGCATGGCACGCAGCAATACAATTGCAGCTTTCATCTGATCGCATGAGCACGTATACGTGCAGATGAAAACACGCGCATAGAAACAAGCGAACGCCGCTGGCATCTGGGAGCTCACAACCAGTGTCCACCTACCTGCCTACGCTGCATTTACTTCCGCAAACAGCAGAGCATGTAAAGCAAATGTGCAGCCCAGTTGACCCGATAATTTTTGGCTTTTATAGCTAAAACTTTGGATAACAGTACTGCTGGCATTCTGCTATGTGCTATACGCTGTCACTTATCTGTATGATGACTGGAACATGTCATATCTGTCAAGCAGGTGACAGTGTTACAGGTGAGATATGTCATATCTGTGAAGCAGGTGACACTGTAACAGGTGAGATGTCATATTTGTCAACCAGGTGACACTGTGTTACAGTTGAGATGTCATATCTGTCAACCAGGTGACACTATGTTGCAGATGAGAAGTCATCTGTCAACCAGGTGACACTGTGTTACAGGTGGGATATAGCATATCTGCCAAACAGATGACACTGTGTTACAGATAGACGTTATATCTGTCAACCAGGTTAGACTGTGTTACAGATAAGACATGCTGTGTCTGTCAACTAATGTTATCTAGTCGTGATATATAAGGTGAACGTTGATTCCAAACATAGCCGTTTATTTATTCACTTAGCAAATACACACAATCACAATGGTTGCCCAATTCGCCTCTATCCCACCTGCTCTACTTTTCATGTATCAATGCACCACGTGGTTCAGTTAGATAATGTGACATCAACCAGGTGACAATTTGTTACATTTGAGACATATCTGTCAACCATGTGACATTGTGTTACATGTGAGATGTCATGTTTGTCAAGCAGGTGACACTGTGTTACTGGTGAGGTATTATGTCTGTCAACCAGGTGACACTGTTACATGTGGGACATTATGTCAGTCAACCAAGTGACACTGTGTTACAGGTGGGACGTTATGTCTGTCAACCATTTCACATATTCTTATGTAACAGACGTCGACATATGCACCACTAGTTTTTCTGTACATGTGAAACGGCACGATGTTTAAGAGCTGATAGAGGTGGTGGTTTAATCTCTGTTGAGTCGATGAATTTTTTTATATCATCACTGTTCACTCTGAGTTACGTGTATTAAAGTGTAAATGTCAGGTGTTAGTATATTAGAGCTTTTATCCCTTTTCATACGTTATAAAACCGTGGTCTCTTCTTATTACAATGTGCTGTACGTGTGTATGTCACTAACCCTTTTGGGTTGAGAATGTGAACATAAACTTGATGAAATAACGCGCATGAAAATGTTAACAAAATAAAGCTATTTTCATTATTTTTAAAAGTATGTAATCGTCCATCATCTCATTTCTGTGTGACTCATCACATTTCCAAGTTTGTGTTTGATGACGAGGTAAAGAGGAAAGATACTGTAGATTTCTTTAGCTTGGCATTCACTGATAGGTTTACAACTACATATTTTACCTGGACGAATAATAATGTCCTTTCATTCACAATAACGTTGCATCTATAGTGTTAGTACAGTATCACAACACCCGCAGCAACATACTTCGACTCAACGCAACATGCAATATACGTTGTGCATTACAACAATAAACATGGCGACATTACATGACTTTGTGTATGTAACTACAACTTTTTAACATCTAGCTGTTCCAATTTCGTACGCTTTGCTGTGTTTCGTGACTTACCGCACACCCCATTGTTTAAAGATCTGTACGTCCGCGTCAGATTTTTGTCTGTTAATTTGCTTGCCATTGCTGTGTTTTATAATGTTAAAATGTCTAATCTTGTCTTTAAAATCCATCTTTAAAAGTTCATCACGACATCGTCATGTGACATTTTGAACCAGTTAGATATCGAAGTAGGCTTTTCCCAACATTATGAGTATCTTGGTGAAACCTCAAATCTTCATAAAGGTATGATTATAGAGTATAAAAAAGGTTGGCAGTTATATAATGTGATGTAGAGAAATTACTTTGTGCCCCCGACATGTCAATTACTATAGCTTAGTAACCATACACCACGCTTCGAGGAATATGTTTCTACAAGATGATCAAAAGCATGTTTACCACCAAATTAAGGTTATCTGACAAAACAATTTTCTGCATAATAATTCCCCCACCACTAGATATATTCTCACCGTGAATAAGACAGCAACTTTGTTTTTCACCTGTCGCATTCCATGTAATTCGTAAGCTCCTTGCAAACAGCACTGATTAGGCTGTAGGCTATTTCACTCAACCATATATTGTACCGTCCCAACAAAATAGTAGCTACGGTGTCGGCCAAAATCTACCATCAGTGTATAGGATACGAGGTGGTTTCTGGAGACATTTCCTGAGTAATAAGGTGTGTAATATAATCCATAAAATATGGTAAGCTCTCACAACTCAAATCCAATAAAACAATTTACTAGGAGAAGCAAATTAATAGAAATATGAGAGATTTTATTAATAGTTACAATATAAATTTTCTCTTCTTAATATTGGGGCAAATTTTCAGCAGTTGCATGTTTCCTATATATATCGATATAATTTGTACAGTCCTTGTCCTTTCCTATGAGTTGCCCTCCCACACCCTCTGTCGTTATGTCACTGGTACTTAGGACTTGTGTGTTGGTCCAGGGGGCGTTCTATGGGCTGCCAGCCACTTATCACAGATGTTTTTAACGGCACTCTGACCAGCTTTTTCTGCTGCATCTGCAGGACAAGAGAAATAGGATGTTGACGGATAGTGGTCACTTTTACCACACGGTCTATGATCAGTGCAAACGCCACCGGGAGAAAAGTAAGGTTATCATGCTAGAAAGAGAAATGACCACTTGATGAAAGCACAGGGAAGACTGACACAAACGAGGGTTTGAGGCAGGACAGCTGAAATACGAGAGAATACCAGTAAGAGATGAGGTATGAGTGGATAACAGAAGACAACATAATTGGAAAAGAGAGTGCGTGAAAGAGAGAAAGAGTGAGTGGGAGATATATAAAAAGCAAAGCAGAGAATGGGTACATTGGTCACAGCTCACCTGAGATTCGTTCAATGTCTTCAAGCCTCTCGCCCCGTACAGCAATCAGGTAGGCAGATTTCAGTTTTCCACATTGGATGTAGGCATTCACCTAAAACCACACGTTTTATGTGTTAAACAGGTTAATCAATGAAAGTGTCAATGATACTATAGCTCACCTTGGGTGTGATAGAAGAAGGAGGGGGACATATAAAGCAAGAGTATATATGGGAGAACTCCCATTATATAGCATATCTCCCATTATATACTCTTGATAATGATATATGCATAAGTTTTGATGCGAAAATAAATGTTTCACATCTGAAAGTCTGAAATCTTGATGAGAGATGGCGCTACGCCTAAATGATCGCCATTTTGGTTTTCGAATATCGCGCAAATAAAAACAATAAAATATTCCAGTCAAATTACTGTAACGAAGAATCTAAAACACAATATTACACGTATTATTGTAGAGTTGTTAACCAGTTAGACGAAATAAACGTAATAGGACGTTGTCATCTCTCCCATAGGAGTAACAACTGTTTTGGGCCTAGCCTTACACATTCATATACCAAAATTTTGCCAAAAAGTAGGCGTGGCTCAAAAGTAGGTCGACTGGCGTGCTCCCAAATAGGACGTTCAAATCTCTCCCATAGGAGTAACAACTGTATGCAATTTGAAACATGTGGGTCAAACGGTTCTTGAGCTATCGTTGACCGTAAGCAGACACTGAAATGCATAGTCAAATTGCTAAAATCTACCAAATTTGCATCATAAAAAAAACAAAAAAAACACGTGTGATATGTTTTGGGGATGCAGATGCATGCGGTTATGCAGATGATACAACATGAGTAGCCTTGAGTAGTACGTATACTGTCGCATCACAGCATGCTCTCAGCAAGACCTTCTACCTGTCACTATCGAGTAAGAGATTTATCGTAAAGGTCAACTTTCCACGAGATGCTAGAGCGTGAATTACTGCTCCATTCGTTCGGGGAGCAATTAGGTAATTATTCGATGCTGTATATGACTGCGACAGTCGTCAATCATTCGTAGCTCTGCTAATTGCCACAGGTCTGTGCACGAAGGGCACCGGGGAGTACTACTCTGCGAAAAATGTTTGCACTGCCACGTGATAATGACACACGCTTACGACTGGCGAGGCTGCGTATTCATGGTAATCAAGGGTACGAGATGTGACTGGCAACAAAGGTCGCCGCTCTCTTTGCGAGTAATGTGTCATAAGTGGCCAAAAAGTGTTTACATGTGGCCATAGCTTCGGCTGCTTTTCGTTAATGATCTTCTCCCCGCTGAAAAGATTAAAAGGATCAATTCTGAGTTACCATGGCGAGCAGTTGTTTGCACGCAACCATAGATATCAATATGTTCGTTTTCATAACCGAAAGCACATTTTGTGAGAATTCCCTACAGTTAATGACGTCATCGATTCAAACTGAACTTTCGAGCGGTATTACGATACAAGGCCATACCATGATTCATTACTTGCAGTCGTGAAAGGAAAGATTTCACGCGTAGCATTTCATGCACTGTGTTGCAGAGTTGTTTGCTAGGTGGTCAAAAAACTAAGTATCATGATTCACTGCACACATGCAACAAAATTTGGTGAAAATAATGTTGTTTAGGATAAAATGAATGGGTGGCACGTGATGTCTAGGACCCTCCATTAGTCCAAGTGCATACAACGGACTTCCCCTAAATAAAAGCTTCACAAGTGTTTGTTAGAAGAATAGATTCACTGTAGTCGAACTGAGGTGAGTATGGACAACACTGTTAGTGTTACATACATTGTCCCTCACAAACTCATTCACTGTAGGTTTCAGCTTAGTATGGCTATGTAAGATTTTAATGTTTAACATATCAACAAAATGTTTTAAAAATAAACAGTCTGCTTGCTTTTACTACGGACTTTACATTTTGTTATGCCATATATCTCCCCCACCCACTATCTCCAAACCACCACCTTAGTGATTCTACCAAAAGCCCTTCCCCTTAGCATTCACCCTTTGCCCCTCACCCTCAGCATACCACCCTTTAGTAATTCTACCATAAGGCCTTCCCTTTAGCCCCCCTCAACACTCATCCTTTGCCCCTCACCCTCAGCATACCACCCTTTAGTAATTCTACCATAAGCCCTTAACCTTAGCCCCCCCCTCACCACTCAGCATTCACCCTTTGCCCCTCACCCTCATCATACCACCTATGTGCTCAATCTGTGCCACGTCCAATACCATCCTATCCCCTCATCAGCAGACACTCTGCTCCCCCTTCCACGTCGCTGAGCAGCGAGAGAATACGGCGCACGGGCCGACAGTACCTTGTTAGCGTCCGTCTTCAGCGTCTTGATGAGGCTCTCCGTCTCCCTGGCCTCGTCCGGCTGCGAGGCGGCGACGCGCAGGCAGGCGTTCACCACCTCGTCGTGAGTCTGCTGGTCGGAGAGGCCCGAGTCGCGCACGCACGCCAGCAGCTGCCGCACCTCACGGTACCGATGCACCGACGCCAGCCTCCTGCCGACCTGCGCGTAGATGGGCGCCGAGTTCAAACGGAACTCCTGCAAAGAGACACATCAGGATAGCTTCTTAGACGGAACACGTTCGATTGCCGTTCGTAGAGATCATCGGATCAGGCTGAAGAATCTACGGAATCTTTGGCAGCTTCCTGGTCTTTTATGCAGGAAATAGGCGAGGAACGGGTCCAACAGCACAGGCTGCTGTAGGATGGCACATTCTGACGAGGAGTAATTATAATAAGGGTTAATGTGCCGAACAGTTTCTAAATGATGCAATTAAGGCCACGTCTCCACCAACAGGGTTAATCATGTCCAAACCACTGCTCAACAAAGCAATCCGTCTTTAATTGGATAAACCCCCGAGTTTGGATTGTTGTATATTCAAGATCACCTGTTTAATGACAGATCCCTACGGTAGTATCGATACTTGCATAACATGAGATGCCACACCTACATGCACCAATATAATACAAGACGACACACCAACACACTCACATAATATCAGATGCCACACTAACACATTCTCGTATAAAATCAGACCTTACACCAACACGCACCTGAACGACTTCAGATGCCACCCAATAACACTCTCGCATAATAACGGATGCCATGCCAACACGCATCCGTATGATATCAGATTCCACACCAACACGTGCCCATATGAAAACATACGCCCATATGATATCATACGCCATGCCAACCAACAATGCCAACCTGTATGATTCTGAATGCAATTCCAAAGCCATCGTCGATGCTCTGTCCAGCCAGCATGACCATCACTGTTACGTCCATCTTGACCTTCACATTGCCAAACAGAGTCGGCGGCGTGCTGTCGCGTCCGTGCGGTGGTGGACTGCCCACGCCACCCCGCGCACCTTTCTGCAGTTGCTCACAGCGGTGCAGGAATTTAGTGACCTCGATCTGTAGCGTGATCGTCATCAGATGACTGCAACAGGTGGCTGCTGTCAGTTAAGTATTAGGTTTTACAGGTTTCACTTGAAAAAGTTTGGGCATAATTAGGTTTAAATGTTTTACGCTGATTATAATAGAGATTGCATATCTATTATTTCAACTCTGTTCAATATACATACTACTCAGTGTTCTATCAATATACTGTATTTTTTTATGCAGTCTCCACTTCAACTTATTTGTCTTCCACAAAGTCCCATGGCATTACATGTGCTATACCACCGAGTGCATACCATGCTCTTGTCAACGTGATGCTCTCTGCACTATTTCTTGTCTGTTATATGCATATACACGAATCCCAAAACAACATGCAATGTATCAATCATGTACCTATGAACGTCATTAGGAGAGAGCCAGAGACGGAGATCATCGTCAGGTGGCACTCTTTTCTTTGTGTTGTCCCCACCACTGCCACGATGGCCCTTTTGCTCCCGAAGAAACATCTCCAAATGTTGGGCCGCAAGTAAGAGGTGCGGAAGTCTTTCGTGCAGTTGAGCATATGAGACGCCGCCACCAGTTCGATAAAATCTAATGCCTGTCATTGCAGCTCGCACGTAATCCTGTTAAATTTGAAGAATTTACGTAAATTTCTTATTGTATCTAAAGTGTAGCATGATACTGAGTAAATCGCATAAAAACCAGAAAGATAGCAGCAAATGTATACAGCATTCATCTTGCTAAAGCGGTTCTAAGCAATTACCTATCGACATGCATAGTTAAGGTCAGCGAATAGGCGAAAACAGAATACCTAGGTACAGCAAACAGCATACATCGCTTACTGACCTTCATGAACATCTGAAGGTCATACAACGTGTGCAAGAGGTGACGCTGGTCCAGGTAACGGCACGCCGCCTTAAGGTACCGGCACCACTGTTGCAGGCTGGCATCGAGAGACTCCATCTGCTGGAGTAGTTTGGGAAGCTGGCCCTTCTCCGTGCATGGCGCCAAGACGCCCTCAATGAAGACGTCAACCGCACAGTCCTGCGCGCAAGTACACAGACACTCAAGTAGCAAAAACGCCACAGCGTAACCCATCAGCCTCGAACTGCATGGACTCACGTGTATGTTCATCCCACACACGTAACGTTTATTACCGGAGATAGTCAGAGTGACAACATAACTGTCTCAAGCTTTTTGTTAGCAAGTCAATTTATCAGAACATCTAACCACAAAAGGTGCAGATCGCAGTTCATAGGTTGCATTCTTTAACAATCGAGCATTATTCGCGAGTTCATAAGTGAGTTTCTAACTCAGAGACACCCTGTCGGTACATGCAAATACACACTCACATGCGCCTGTCAAGGAATTAGCATTGTGAAGGTGCCTCTATCAATAACTTTATTCTTACATGGACAAGTAAACATTGCAGTGCTTCGTGTACGTGGCCGTGGCTCACGTAGAATGTAAGCAGTGACAGGTGGGTTCCATAGGCACGCAGGTAGTACAAGCTCTCATCGTACGCATCCACGTTGCTGCCCACTCCCATCTGGAATGTAGTCAAACAGAGAACATCTCAGCATCTCGGAAACAAGCACAACTTCATAAACTGATTAAGTATCAACTAACCAAGTACGACCTGCATACGCAGCAGAAGGTATGTAAGCACGTTGATTTTATCATCATTGCCCATGACTTATGCAATTAACGTTAGACTGACCTGTGTCGGATCAGCAATGAGGTCATTGCAGCTGATTGTAGCACTGGAGAGTAGATCAGGGATTGAGTCAGCAGTCTGCAGCGCTGAGACGATGTCCTGCACTAGCTGGGGAGAGCTCTGATTCATATCAATGGGCTTCTGCAAGGTAAACAATATTTATTCTCCAATTGATCCTTTCCACTGGTTATAAATGACACTCTGACTTGCGAGTGTGTGTGCGTGTGTGCGGGCATGCAGGCACATATATAAGAAGCACTTATTACGAGTTTTTTTTGGTCAAATATAGAAACTGTGAACGAGTCCTGTGACTCTCCGCTACCCACCTTGAGACACTTTGATAGTTTGCTGCGAGCGTTGGCGTAATCCCGTGCGCGTAGATGCGTCATTCCCCAATTGGTCCACACTGCGTTCATGTCGAGACTGCACTTGGCTGACACCTCCATCGCGAGCTGAAACCTCTCATCCTCCAAAAGCTTGTCCCTGTAGCGCCTGTGACAGCGGTGACACGCACGGAGAAATGAGTGCAATGTGCTGACTATTGCTCCTACAACCCAATTGCTCAAAACTGGATTCAAATTATTTCCTCAGCAACACATATATTAGTGCTGATGAAGTTAGCATAGCGAGAGGTCACACAGTAGTTAACGACAAGCATGTTAATTATCAATATTCACCACTCAACACTTACCCACAAGTCTAATAAACATGGGGCAATGGGCACAACTGATGGTCCCACCTACATCGATGCTGGCTCCACCTACATCGATGCTGGCTCCACCTACATCGATGCTGGCTCCACCTACACACATACTGGCACCACTTACATGCACTCTGGCACCACCTCCACACACATTGGCACCACTTACATGCACTCTGGCACCCCCTCCACACATATTGGTACCACTTACATGCACTCTGGCTCCAGCTCCACACATATTGGCACCACTTACATGCACTCTGGGACCACCTACGTACACTAGTGCCACGTATGTGCATGCTGGGGCCACCTACTGAAATACTGGTGCCACCTACACAAGTGTTGGCGCCACCTACTCAAATATTGGTGCCACCTACACATGCGCTGGCGCCACCTACCGTGCAGAGTCGGGCTTCGTGAGCTGCTGCAGTGAAGGCACGTCTTGGCAGTTGGCAGCGACTAGCAGCTGCAGGAGGTCGACGCGGCTGAGGTAGGTGTCACAGAGCTCGGGCCGTGCACCGCCGCCACCATCATCCTCTTCCTCAGCCTCCGCCAGCTTCATCTTCGCGCTCATCAGCAGCGTACGCATCATGCTGCAGGAAGGCAAGTGACAGGTGGCTTCGTTACGTGGTGTAGGTATGGTTCTCTCTCTCTCTCTCTCTCTCTCTCGCTCTCTCTCTCTCTCTCACTCTCTCTCTCTCTCTTTCTCTCGCTCGCTCGCTTTCTCTCTCTCTCATTCTTGCTAGCATTCTATCACTCGTGGTCACACGTGCACCTTCTCTCTCTCTCTCGCTCGCTCTCTCTCTTTCTCTCGCTCTCTCTCTTTCTCTCGCTCTCTCGCTTTCTCTCTCTCTCACAAACTTTCTCTCTCTCACTCTGGCTAGCATTCTATCCCTCGTGGTCACACGTGCACCTTCTCTCTCTCTCTCTCTCTTTCTCTCTCACTGTTCATCACCATCTATTTCTCACTCTTTTTCAATCTCTATCTTTCTGATATTCTCCCTGACTCTCTTGTAGTGCCTATCACTATTTCTCTCTTAGCTTCTCTCTCTCTCTCGCTCTCTCTCTCGCTCTCTCTGTTTCTATGCCGTTTCTCTGTCTCTCATTCGGTCTTCCACTCTCTGGCTCTCTCTATTTCCTCCCCGCTCTGTCTAACTGTTTCTCTCTTCTTCTACTTTGCTATCCTACTACCTCTTCCTCACCTGTCGCGGACTGTCTAACTCCCTCTCCTTCTTTCTCTTTCTCGTTCTCTTGCTCAATCTCACTGTTGCACATTTTCCTCTCCAAAGCCTTGCCCTGATCTCTCATTCTATCATACCTCATCCCACCACTTTATTCTCCCATTCAGAGAAGAAAATCATGGTTGATTTCCTACCTGATAATCAAGTTGTAGTCCAACTCGGGATTGTGCAGGCCAGGTTCAATAGGAAGTAACAACTTGGACAGGTCATCGCAAAGTTTCAGCAAGTACGACGCGCCGACTGCCAGGTTGCTATGAAGGTCCAGTACAGAGATGCACAGGTTGCTGCTAGGTGCCTGCAATAAATGCAAAAATTCGATTACGATGAGAGGCTAACATTCTGGCAGATACACGGGTTTTGTAAGAACACTGTTTAGGTCTTACAGGATGTAAACATGCAAGTTATCGTGATCACGGTTTAACTATTGTGAAGTGAAATAACGTTGGTACATTCACAGATTGTACGAAGGGTTCATCGAAAGGTTTATGTATAATGAGTGTGCTAGCAAAGACCAATACAAAGTACAGCAATGCTCGCCCAATGCAAATCTCTCCATATAGAGTTAGCTACTTCTCCCAGAGCAGGATAACTATGCTATGCATGGACATAAGTCGCTACATATAGAATAACTATTCTTCTTAGAGAAGGTTAATACTCTGCATAGATGTACGTCTCTGCACACAGTCAAATACTCCTCTCATAATGGTACAATAGACTGAAGCGTTTCGTAGTGTCTTCCCCGTACGTTCAACCTACGTACGCCTTGTTGCGTGTGTGCATGCAGGCATCTCATGCATGCATGTAAGCGCGCTCACACAGAACACGCACACATGCACGCACGCACGCTCGCGCGCGCCCACACACGCACGCACGCACGCACGCACGCACGCACGCACGCACGCACGCACGCACGC